CTAAAGGGTATACACAACAGGAAGGAGTAGTATGGAGACACCTTCTCACTTGTTGTATGTTTCAACTCGATACGGCTGATACTGGCTGTAGTAGCAAGTTTAGACTTAGAGTTACATCAGATGGATGTAAAAACCGCTTTCCTAAATGGAGAACTAGATAAAGAAATCTATATGGAACAGCCTGAGGGCTTTATACATAAAGGGAACGAATAAAAGGTTTGTAAATTCTTGAGATCCATTTATGGACTCAAGCAATTATCTAGGCAATGGTACTTAAGGTTCCACAAAGCTATAAGCTCCTATGACTTCGAAATGATCGAGGAAGATTACTGCGTTTATATCAAACGGTTTGGAGATAATTTTGTCATTCTATCCCTTTATGTCGACGACATACTCCTAGCTGGTACCAATCTTAAACTAATATATATGATCAAAGGGTTGTTATCCTTGAACTTCAAGATGAAAGACATAGGCGAAGCAGAATATATCTTAGGTGTTAAGATAAGAAGAGATCATTCTAGAAAATTGCTGTTATTGTCATAAAAGGCATACATAGCAAAGATTCTTGAACGTTTCAATATGAGAGACTATAAGCCTATGGATACCCCTGTGGTTAAGGGACATAACCTAAGCGAGGAAATGTGCCCTATAAAACAATACGATATAGAATGTATGAAGAGAGTCCCATACTCAAGTGTTGTTGGCAGCCTAATGTATGCCATGTTGTGTACCAAGCCAGACATATGCTTCGCAGTTGGACTTATGAGCTGATTCCAATCCAATCCAGGAGTAAAACACTAGGAAGCTGTAGAGAGAATTATGAGATATCTAAAAGGAACCATGGATTATGAGTTGTGCTATCAAGGAAACAGCCTTCCTGCGGAGGGTTATTCCGATGCTGATTGGGTAGGAGACCTGGACAAGTGACACTCGACGTCAGGCTATGATTTCCTACTGAATAATGGAGCAATCTCCCGGAGTAGCAAGAAACAAAGGTGTGTGTCTCTTTCATCCATGGAAGCAGAATATGTTGTATGTTCTGTAGCTGTACAAGAAGCTATGTGGCTCAATTCTTAGTATGATTGGGAATCCATGGTGGAAGTGAGGGACCAACTCTGATTCACTGCGATAGTCAAGCAGCAATAGCCTATACAAAGGACCCTAAGTACCATACTCGTACTAAGCATATAGACATAAAATATCACTTTGTAAGGGATATGATCACTAAGAAACAAGTGACAGTTCAATACTTGTCCCCTCATAAGATGTTGGCAGATCCCCTAACCAAGCCTATAGCTAGAGATCTTTTTGTCAAGCATGTAAAGGCCTTGGGCATGCGTAGAGCATGATGTATTGAACTCCTTTTTCCTTTTGATCCTTTTTCTTGTTCAAATACGCAGGCACAAGGCATGTTGTACTGAACTTTTTTGTTTCCTCTTACTTAGTAATTCAATGCATTTTATCTAGTTTAAGGAAATTTTCTTGTATATATATTTGTGTATTTATACATACATAAGCACGAGGTATGCAATACTAATATGTCATACAAGTCACAAGGGTGGCTCACTCACACGAGCAACCGCCTCGCTATGTTCTCATGGGACATAGAAGATTTGACAGCAGATGATCACCATGAGATGGTAGAGAAGAATCAATGCACAAATGTCGCCTCAGCTAAACTGAGATGAGACCCATAAAAGTCTGGGCCGAATCATGGATAATGTGTCATCCATGAGACCTGTAGCTAGACAAGGAACTTTTCACTTGTAAGACATCATCTATAGTTGTGATGAAAGAGTTCCTGGTTCAAATGTTGGAGTACATTTGGAACTTAAGTCTGTACGGTGCTACTAAAACCAAAAGCAACATACTCTACTCAGTGGATCGAGCACCATAGCATGCAATTCATACTATATGAGCTCACTCAAATCTGCAACATGGGGCGTAGATGGAAGATCCCTGATCCATTACGGTGTGAGTCCCATAAAGGAAATAAACCTTTCGTAATGCCCTTAAGACTTAGACAGCATCACAAGGGTTTGGTTTAATAACAGCTACTCTAGCCTAAACCTCCTGGTCAAGAATGATGCGATTTAACTGGTCAAGACTGGGAAAGCGATTATGCCAAATCTAAATGATGAATAGTCAGAAAGAAGATTTATCCTGAAGTACACATCTACGTTGGTGTCTATGACATGTCCCTTGCAAGTTGAATAGAACAACTAAGCAAGTGTTGATACCATACGTATAGGAAGGCAATCTGAGTAAACAAAATAAACTTGAGAGGGACTAGATATGCCATAAATAAAGTGTATGGATAAAACTGGTGCATTCGAGGCAACAAGTATACAATTTACTGGTACACCAAGGTTGTTCTTGTGTGCTGGTCCTGCATAAAGGATTCCTAGTGCACAAGTGCCCGAATCAATGACGTCATGCCCATGTGGTCACGGTAGACACCTAGTATGAAGCAATGAAAGATTTAGCTATCGCACGATGGGCAGCCCATCAAGTGCGAGTGGGAGATGTTGGATTTTGGGCTTAGATCCGCCCTTGATGGGCTGGATTATTTGACCGAGTATAAAGAGAATATACCAGTCCAAGCGATGTTGTGATATGTTTTGACTTGGCCAAACACCCAGAATCATATCCAATCAGTTACGATATAAATCTAATTGGTTTATAATAAATTAATCAATTTATATTGTATAGATTAAATATATATATTTAGAATTAATTATGATTGATTCTGGATTTGAATTCAAATATCATGATATTATGAGATAAGGATATATTTATATATCCTATCTCAGATTTTATCTAATGGGCTCAATGGATATTTTTGGCTACCCAAATACCCCTGACAAAAACTATAAATAGAGGCTTTCTCCCATCAGTTCAAATCACTCCAGTAGTTGAGATTTCCTACTATCTCTCTCTCTCTTATTTCTTTCTTGCAAAGAGGTGCTCTGCTGTGTACTAAAACCTTAGACTTTTATAGTTTAGCTTAAGTGTGAGCTAACAAGATCCGACCAACCCGGTACGTTTCTGATCCATTGTCTAATTATTCTAACAGTTGCAAAGCAGATCGTTTCTGCTGGCACCAGCAAATCATGTATGCCTAATCCTATATATTAAAGAATCCCGCCTATCTGTTGAGTTCTTGCATTTGCTCAGGGGCTTAGCATGCTTCTGAAATTTGCGAATTCGAATAATTCGTTTTAGCTAAGTTAACGGGCCCGCGTCGGGAATTTCCTCGTTAGTCATTGTACTTTTTTCTGGGGATATTACAACGGGTATTTCAGTTAAACTAGGCTTGTGAGTCCTGCAGTTTCTTATAGTTTATATATATACATGTGTGTGTGTCCACGCGCGCGCGCTCCCTAGATTGTACCTTCTGCTAACTTATAGAGACAACAAAAAATTGTTGTATGGTTTTCACCAAAAAAAAAAAAATTTGTTGTATAGTACTTGTTGAGACTGGAACTAGAAAATATTGGTAAGGGGCGCGGAAGGTAAAAATAAAATTTTTACTGGGCCAAAGTTAGAAATTTTTCAAAAACTCATCTGATCTACATCTAATATTACAAAGGAAGTAAGGTTTAGGGGATGCGGCTTCCCCTGTTTGGGATAGCCTGGCCCCCTTCCTAAGTACATGATACTCATTGTATATCTGAGGGAATAGCTGCACAATTCTTAATCCATATATTTGTACGATGGCTTTAATAATTGGCATTAAACGGTGAAACTTTTACAGTTAAAATGCCCTGTCTATGAACACTTGATAACGGTTTGAATCACCAAAACAAAAAGAAAAACCAAAAGCAAAGATGTTAGAGTTTTACATTCTGCTTGGGTGCTTGAGCATTCTAGTATGACATTTCAACTACAGATGTCTCTGGATTTATTTTAGTAACATTTGTGCCTTTTTCATATCTAAAGGAGAAGTGTAACTATTGACACTCGAGGAGTTTCATTTAATTATGTCTAAATAACGGAAACTAAAGTTAGGCCAGTAGGAGAATAAAAGAAGTACCTATGGTGACTTGTCAGAGTTGGAAAATATTTTATTCATTATGTCAAAATGGAAGCGAGTGCCTTATGGAGTTGAAGTTTGACTAGGTGTGATGCGCTGCTGTTAGGAAAATAAAATTGACAAGGGAAAAATGTGTTTGTAGATCACTGCAATTCGGTAGTGCAAAGCATGAGCAGTTGATACTGAGTATGCTCCACTTGAAGTAAAAACACAAGCTAAGCAATACGGCAAACGAAGGGAAGAAGTGAAACTTCCTAAATGCTAGTAATCTCATTAAAAGTGCTCTTCAATATCCATGAGATTTATTTCACTTGGGCATGTGCACCTTTTGAATTGTTGACTTGCCCATTCATTACTTCCTCTTGCTTTGCTCAATTATAGGTGTATAGCTTACTGCTTCATTAGCTTTGTCTATATAAGTGGCCGTGTCCAGGTGACATAAGTTATTGATCCTAGAAGTAAATTATATCATCTATCCATTTAGGGGTTGTATTCCGAAAACACCAGACAATAAATAAAACCAGCTTGAAATTTTTCTACAACTCATTGCCATTTCTAGTTTAAATGGTTTTCTTGCAAATTTCCTGCATCTATTAGTTTGGTCATCATTCATTGTGTTGCATGTTAACTTGTCATACTTGTATTTTATCTATTTGTATAAATACAGATTTGACTATGTAGTCTATCATTTGCAGATGTTGTACGAATGCTTCTGCCTAGCATTGTTCCACCATCTTACAAGGGTTCAACTGTTCGCTATTTTTACTATGTTAAAAGTGCATTAATGGGAGAGTGGCTAGTGATGGAAAATGGGCAATCATTTGCAGAGTCTGTACAAGATGAAACTAAAAAGCTAGCCTGAAGAGGGAACTTTCATTCCACTAAACGTGGAGTACCAGAAGCAGAGTTCATAAACGCCATAAACCAAACGGCAGAGGCATACACAAAAGAACAATAAAAGACATTAACCAATCCCTTCTCGATCTTCCTCAATCTCAGGACCTTCACAATGAGCATAATCATCATGAGAATCCTTAAAAGCGTGGGCAACACTGATGATGAACATTTGTAAGTGGACCTGGGAATGTATGATGATCAGTTGATTTGATTCTTGGCATCATCTTGATCGACTTGGTTGGCTTTGCCTACAAAATCGTTATGCCAAATATCATAGCCTCCATAGAATAAAACAACAATGCTCCGAACAACTAAGCCTACGATTTGACGAAGTACGGGACGACGACTTGTAAGTGGAAAGAATGCTAACCAACCAATAAATATCATTACGGAAACGGAGATGAATCCAATGATACTTATAGCGTGTGCAACTATAATGTTATTGCTCACGATCAAGCGTATAACAGCTAGAAACGCAACGGGCATTGCCATAAGGGCCACAGAAACAAAGATCGTAGCATTCGCATATGCTCGTGTTGCAAAACGAAGATCTCCAACTGGGACCCATAGAAGAATGATAGAGCCAATGGTGGAGCTATACATAGCAATAGTGTTAAAAGCCATGAATATCTTGAATAGTGTTTGATCGGCCAAAAGTGCCATACCCTTTTGTTTTGGGATTGGGCCATCCGATGAGTAAAACCCACCTGGTACTGTGAAACCAGCTGCAAATGTCACTGTAGCTATCAGTATGGCCACAAGTATGAGTGTGTTGGCTGCATCCTTTACATTCCACTCTTTGTTGGTGGATGTTGTTAGTGGCACGCTTAGCATATTTGCCTTCAGGTCTACACCAGCATTATATAAAATTACATTTGCTAGAAACTGCAAGGTAGTCAAATCAAACAAGCTAACATGTTATATTCTATTATTAAGAAAAGAAGTGTTTGGAATCAAAACCTTTTAGAAAGTTAATAAAAAGAAGACATAGATGCTTGTCAATCTTACTTCTTGACGTGTCTTGGGAATCCTACGTTACGTCCAAACAACATCTCGAGCTGTCAAACCTTTGTTATTGACTAGGTTCACATCGATCCTTTTGTCTTGTGATAGAAGGAGTAGAGTCCAGAGACGCAATTCTCTTGAAGCCAAATGTAAGGGAGTATCTCCATTTACATCTCTCTCATTGATAGTGTCATGATGAATCTTGGGGTGCTTCAGTAGATATTTTGTCACGCAAATTCGTCCCTTCATTGCTGCAATGTGAAGAATGTTTTGACCTTTATGATTCAAGAAAAGTCCAGCATTAGACCACTCTATTTCAAGCAACTTTTTGATGACTTCAACTCTGCACTTGTCACAGGCAAGGTGAATTGGAAGATTGCCATCTGAGTTTCGTTGAAAAGCAATCATGGGAGATGTTTTTAGCATTATACAAACTCCTTCCACGTAACCAAAGTACGCTGCATGATGAAGGGGAGTGTTGTTGTTCTCATCTCTTTGATACAATAGCTCTTTTCTCGTACCAACAATCTTTTTCAATAGATCTTTACACATAAAACAAAATATATTAGGGAAAAGTGAAGCAAACATGAACTTAATTATTTTAGGAGTATGCTTACCTTTAGTTCGTTCTAATATTGCAGCATGAAGTGGAGAGTCGCCATTTGACATGGCTTTCCCTGAGGGGATTGGAATTAACCTCAAGAGAAGATAGAGAATATCCTCATCCCTTATGAGAACTGCTAAATACATTGGCGATTTACAATCATAATAATAGTTCCAGGTCCAATAGGTGGCCTGATTACTTCGCTTATGTGCAACTAAAAGGAAGAGGACCACAGAATAATCCTTGCTCAAAACGGCTTCGTGCAAAGCTGTCCTCCCATAATTGTTGCGTAACATAATAAAGTCCACTTTGTCCATAGATTCAGCCTCCTCTTCAGACGTCGTGAAATGCTTATCCATGTCGAGAATGTTCTTAATCGCGACAAGATTCTTGGCTTTGGCAGCAACATGAAGCGGAGTATCACCTTTCATATTTGTCCTGTACAAAAGCTTAGGATAGTGAAAAGCAATGAGACATAAAACTTGTTCACTCCCATGTTCAGCTGCAACATGAAGCAACGAGTCACCTATGGGAGTGACATGATTGAAAATGGTGGCCAAGTCAACATGATTTTTCTCACACACTTGCTCCAGTACATAAACAAATCTATCTGCATCTGCATTTTTTTCACAAGCCGCCTGGTGCAACTCATAATACATGATATGTACCATATTGTCACAAAATGGCATATCATTAACTGATGAACTGAATTGCTTTTTCATCAGTTCCCGCATCTTTTCATTGCCACAAGATTGTACATCATCAACTGATGAACTGCCCAGCTTATCCATCAGATTAGGCATCTTGTTGCCGCGAAGAAATGCCATATCATTACGTAATTGCATTTCCATTAGCTCACTCGTCACTTTGCTGCTAAACGCACTGGACTGCTGATTTGTTGCAGCCACATCTAACCTTATTTCAACAGAGCCTGAATCGGCCATTGCAACTAGCTAGCACTTCAATCAAAGGCAATCCAAAAGATAAATCTCGTAGTTGATCACCCAATTCAACTTAACTTCAGCGTTAGAGAAACCTTTGCGCTTTATATACATTAAACAATTCAAGTGAATGCAACTATACAACTTTCAGCTTATTCAGTCAAAACGTTGAAGACAATATTGTCTTTATTTCTCGTACTAATCTGATATAGGAATATTCGTCGAAACTTCAGTCCCCACACCTCCCCTCCGGTCATCAAAACCCACATGAAAGTTGCATTCATTAAGGACCTGTTTGCTCCAAGGAAAATGGAGAAGGAAGAAGAAAGAAAATTTTAATGAGCTCAATGGGTTAAAAGCTTTTAATTAAATTTGTTTCTTTTATCTTATATCTTTTCTTTATCAAAATTTCAGAGCTTCACTTTTTAATTTTTTAAATTCAGCTGATTAAAATTTTTTTTCACTCCAATTTTCTTGTACCAAAAATATTGGGTACTAGACGACTCGTCCCGCCCTTCGGGCCAGCGACCTGAAAGTTGCATTCACCGAGTCAATGTCCGGACACTTACCTGTCAACTCTCAGTCCGTAAATGGAACGCATGTGCTTTAATTTGTTTTGATTGGATGAAAGTGTTGTTTGTTTCTTTCTTTTCTTCTCCTCCGGGTCAAATATCAATGAAAGGAAGAATGAGTGGTTGGCTTTTTCCGATGGCCATTAGATCACTCTCTATAAATCTTGACCCACGTAATCCTTGTCCTTAGTTTCTATTGGTTAAGAGTGTGCTTCTTGGACATGATTTACAAGTCATTCCCCCTTTAATATTGGCTCCATATTTTTTTGAACACTTTGTGAGGTCTTACTCAATGCACAAGAAAAATCTATTACTCCCTCCGTCCCCATTTTACAACCTTTGAAATAAATCATACGGATGATAAAATTAGTTAAAATTACTTCAACATAATAAATGAGTAAAAATTAAAAAAAATTTCCTCCAAAATATCATTATTTATGCGGAAGAGAGTGTAAAAAAAATAAAAAATTATTATAATTAAAAGAATCATAAAAGAGAGAGCATAGGTGACGGAGAAGGATTATGCTAAAATATAATCTTCAAAACATTTGTGGTCTAGAAAATGATGTTTTGAAAAATAAAAAATAAATGTATTAACTATTAAAATAAGTCTTTAATATGGGCAAAATATTGGGTAATAAACGACTCGACCCACCCTTTGGGCCAGCGACCTGAAATTTGCATTGACCGAGCCAATGTCTAAACATTTATCTGCCAACTCTCAATCCATAAAATAGAATGCATGTGCTTTAATTTGTTTTGATTAAATGAAAGTGTTCCTTTCTTTCTTTCTTTCTTTCTTTCTTTGTTTTCTTCTCCTCTGGGCCAAAAACTGGTGAGAGGAAGAATGAGCGGTTGGCTTTTTCGTCAAGTGCAAATTGCTTTGTTTCTATTGGTTAAGAGTGTGCTTCTTGGCCATGATTTACCCGTCATTCTCCCTTTAATATTGGCTTCATATTATTTTGAACACGTTCTAGGGTCTCGCTCAATGCACAAGAAAAATCTATTACTCCCTCCGTCCCCCTTTTACAACCTTTCACTAAATCACACATAAATAAAAAAAAATTTGTTAAAATTAGTTAAAAATCATAAATGTGTAAAAATTAAAAAAAATTTCCCAGAAAATAACATTATTTATAAAGGAGAGACTGTAAAAAAGAGAGTAAAAAATTATTATAGTAAAAAGAATTACAAAAGATATAATGTGTGATGGAGTAATCTCCATAACATTTATTGTCCAGAAATATATTTTGAAAAGTAAAAATAAATGTAAATAAGTCTTTAAGGAGGGCAAAATAGAAACTTTGCTACAAAAAATTTAAGACAACTTGTAAATTAATATTATATATTTAAGAACAAAGAATAAAGGGTGGTTGGTGCTTATATAAAAGGATGGACGGATTACAACATTCGGCCTTTCTTGAAAAAATAAGGATTAAACATGCAATTACGGTTGGATTAAGGATTAAACACGCAAGTAAGGTTGGATCAAGGGTCAAATAAAAAATATAAAATACTACCTCCAATTTTTAATATAAGATCTAGTTTATTTATATTTATTGTCTTTTTCAAACTAATTTGTGATTCTTATAAATTGATATATATAATTTAATGATACACATAAATATTTTCCAGATATCATGTAATATATATTATAATTAAGTAATTTAGTAATTTTTTTTTAATTTTCTCAAATTAACCAAGTGGATCTTAGATTAAGGATTAATAGATAGTAGTAAACAAACCTATACACTATAGGATTACATCCGTCTCAAGTTAGGGCAAAGCGTGATTTTCAAAAATTATAATGAAGGGTAATTTTAAAAAGTATGCATGAAATTTTAGAAAAATCCCCGTAGACTAAGAAAAGCAAAGACTAATGGCTCGGACCAAATGAATGAGAAAAATCACCTCAAAATTTTTTTAAAATAATTATTAGAATTTTGGTTAATTAAAGGATATTTATTCAAACTCATTACAAAAACTATAAGGAGGATTCAAAAAATTGGGAAAAATAAGAAAAATTATATTGAAATTAATATGATAAGAATATTTTCATGCCATGGAAATGGAAATATAAGGGGGACTTAGAAAATTGGAAAAGATAAGATTATTTTCATGCCATAGAAATGGAAATCTTAGCTAAGTGGATATTTTATACGGTTTTACCCAAAAATAGGGCTGTTTTTGGGGGAAAAACATAAGTAAATATTTAGAGATCAAATTTCAGGTTGGAAAAAAGTTGGCGAGTCACTTCCTAACGTGAGTTCCTTATAGTTTTACATTGATCATAAGATCAAATAATCTCCAAAACGCATTTGGAGAAGATTAATCAGATATTAATTGAAGAGTAAAAGTTAATTAAAATAAGTTGCTGTTGTGGTCAATGCAACTACACAGATAAGATACATGTGGTCTGGTGAGAGGGTGGAATATTGTGTGTTCCGTCACTATGGATTATTTTGGTCATCTTATGAAGTCACTTTCTTAATAGCATTTCATAAGTATCTATCTTTTGACCGTAAGAATATTTTAGCAGACTATGTTAATTAAAACCCGGTTGTTCTTTTCTCTTTCTTTCTTTCTTTCATTTTTTTAACTTAGTGCTAATAATTGGCGTTAAGACCTTCATGGCTTTCGTATATCTTGTTCGTGTTATGGTTTTCTCTTATGTAGGGTGTTGTGATAACGTTATGTTTTAGTTTCTATTTAAATATCAATATGATGGAAAATATTGAAAACCATTAATTAAAAACTTCAATATGTTCAATGATAACTATATGTAATAAATGTAAATGTAAATTTAAATTTATAAGAAATGATATATAAAAGGATCAGATGAGAACACTCACTCAAAACGTTGATGACAATATTGTCTTTATTTCTCATACTAATCCAATATAGGAACATTCGTCGAAACTTCAATCCCCACACCTCCCCTCCGGTCACCAAAGCCCCCATGAAAGTTGTATTCATTAGGGACCTGTGTGGTATAAGGAAAATGGAAAATAGAGAACGAAAAAAAAAAAAAAGGAGTTTTAATGAGCTCAACAGTTAAAAGCTTTTAATTAAAATTTTTCCCCTCTTTTTTCTTGCATCTTCTCTTTATCATAATTTCATAGTTCCACTTTTTATTGTTTTTTTTTAAATTTAGCTCATTAATATTTTTTCTCCACTTCAATTTACTTGCAACAAAAATATTAGATAAAAGACGACTCGACCAACCCTCCGGCGAGCGACCTGAAAGTTGCATCCATCGAGTCAATGTCCATTGTCCGGACACTCGTCTGCCAACTCTCAGTCCATAAAATGGAACGCATGTGCTTTAATTTGTTCTGATTGGATGGAGTGTTGTTTGTTTCCTTCTTTTTCTCTTCTGGGCCAAAAATTAGGAAGAGGAAGAATGAGTGGTTGGCTTTTTATTGACCCACGCATCCTTGTCCTTAGTTTCTATTGGTTAAGAGTGTGCTCCTTGGCCATGATTTACAAGTCATTCTCCCTCTAGTATTGGCTCCATATTTTTTCAACACTTTATGGGGACTTACTCAATGCACAAGAAAAACTATTACTCCCTCCGTCCCGTTTTACAACCTTTGAAATAAATCACACAGCTCAAAAATTAGTTAAAATTAATTAAAGATATAAATAAGTAAAAACTGAAATTTTTTTCCTCTAAAATATCATTATTTATGGAAAAGAGAGTATAAGAAAGAAAATAAGAAACTTATTATAATAAAAAGAATCATAAAAGAGAAAGAATATGAGATGGAGAAAGAGTATACTAAAATATAATCTTCAAAACATTTGTCGTCTAGAAAATGATGTTTTGAAAAATAAAAAATAAAAATATTAACTATTAAAATAAGTCTTTAATAAGGGCAAAACAAAAAATTTGCTACAAAAATCTAATATAACTTGCAAATGTTAATTATATTAAGGGATAAGGAGGGAATGGTGATTGTTGCTTATATAAAGGGATGGAGGGACTATAACCTTCAGCCTTTCTTAAAAAATAAGTACTAAATTGGATCAATGGTCAAATAAAAATATAAAATACTACCTTCAATATTTAATATAAGATCCAATTAATTTATTTGAGGAGATTAAAAAAGTTAATAAATTAACTTAAAGTAATTATCTTTATTATTTTTCTCCAAACTAATTTAATATAATTTATGATATACGTAAGTATTTTAGATTATACTTATAAATTAATATATAATCTAGATATTTTTAATTAATATGTAAATTAATATCATGTAATATATGCTATAATTAAATAATTAAATAATTTAATAGCTTTCTTAATTTTTTTAAATTAGTTAAGTGAGTCTTAGTAAACAAACCGATGCAAGATTACTTCCATCTCGAGTTAGGGCAAATCGTGATTTTCAAAAGTTATGAATGAGGAAGAGTAATTTTGAAAAATAT